GATCATACGTTTAGTGCAAATAACGGTCGAAACCCATAAATTCCGCAGGTAAGCCAGATGTTAGTGTGCTCCTGCAAGATTATCATTTTCTTGGAATTTCTTAGATATAATAAAATAATTATCATAATTTACCGCACTGGGTTACTAATCCGATTTGTGGAATAACAGACCCTTCTTCTAGACATGTAAATAAAGAAATAAGCTTATTAAATCAGGAGCATGAAACGCATTAGGCAGTTTTGGTCGAATAAGCTTTCTGGGAAATACCGATAAAGGGGAAAATTGTTGAGTTGGGTGTGGTCACCATTTTTAGTGTATTTTATATTAGGTGATTTTGCAAAGTCCGTATGAAATCGATCACTGAGATGATTTTCATAACATTCGCATGAACTGATATATTTTCACTTTATTTCAATTCTCATATAAAAAACAATGTAAAAAACTGGTGATTGAAAAAGCGGGCTTTAAATCATTACTTCAAAATTTGGTAGAAAATCCGCCGTCTCGACTTCAAATATTTGATGTTTCCCTATTTCATTTTTAATTTGAAAATAAAAACAAAAATACGTAATACTGATTTTTTCCTCAAATATGGCCCTTTGAAATAAAAATAACATCATTTTTCTCTCTTGGTCCAAAAATGTTTTTTGTCTAGATTTATAGTAAGAAAATCTCCTAGGCTACATACAAAAAAAACTTGTATTGATGTTGACATGTGAAATCGATGCCGTAATGAGAGAAAACATTTCAAACGTCTATTTGAAAAAATCTGCTAAAGAAACCATAAACTGTTTTCAATGTTGTAAACTGTGTTATCTTAAGTTCAATTTATGAATATTTACGTTGGAGTGATGAGGATTAGTTGTGTTTTAAACTTACAGAATGTATGTGAACTCTTAGTTCTCAATAAACTATTTTCTTTTTTTGAATTTACTGATCAGTTATATCAGTTTTTGCCTCGGCAAATTGTTTTAACAGTAATTTATAATCTGATTTAAAGCACGATTATATTGAAAAATCAATTGATTTAAATCGTTTGCTCCAAATTGTCGCAACCCTGGACCCTGATCCTTTATAATATAAATTGACTCCATGGATTCTAGAAAATGTTGAAGCTGGCAACACTGTTTTCGTGATGCTCAAAAAATCGGCGCTGTCATCTGCAGCATTTAGCGAGAATATATTGATTGTAGTGATTTATTCTGAGACATATGATGTTGAAATAGCTGTTATGATCGATATATTATGTTGTAAATAATTACAACTATTTATATGTAAATGATTTATTGCATGTAATTATCATCGATAAGTCATAAACTACATGGACCAATTAAACCGAAATGTTTGGAGAAAGCAAGATGTTTTCATCCCTATATGTTGAGTAATTCCAACGGGTATGATGATTTTTAACACCAAGCGTTGTGGGATATAATATAATCCAATTGTAGAAAAAAATGTGCGCTATTTGAAAATTGAAGGTATCGAAATTAAATATTTTTGAGCTACCATAACATTTTTTTGGATATGTCTCATTCGATGAGAAAATTGAAAAAAGCATGCAAAAACGATATTTGGAGACTTTCTATAAGTTTTCGCATCCGCCAGTACTGAACCGACTTTTTCAATCTGCGAAGCAATCTTAAGTTGAAATTCAGACAACCTCTTAGTAGTACCTTTACAAGTTACGTAGAGGTCAAGTATTTACAAGACAGACCTTAATGAGAAATATAGAAATTAGTTATTTGTTTTAATCTTCTATCCCTGTTGGCATGTTGCTAATGTTAGAAAATATATTTTTTTTTCATTTTTATGCTGTCACTTGTAACTTGCATTTCCTAAGTCAATAGGGTATAAACATGCCAATCATAAGGCATAACTTCAAGGGACGATTCCTTCGGGGATTTCAAAATTCAAAACAGTTTACATAACCGTTCGTCCGACAATGCTTTATTGACTTATTTATGTTTATGAAACGTTTTGTCTTAAAATTAGGTCAGATGCTCCATTAATTTATTTATGCAGGGTGTTAATGATAGATCGTAATACAGGGTGCAAAGCTGAACCAATTAGAAAAATTAAAAAACATAAAATTGTGTTCTAAACGGTCTGATTTCCAAGATACACAGTGTCGAAGGTTGAAAAGATTCATTTTTGACAGAAGAAAAATAATAGCAGACTATCACGGAAAGTCGAAAGTATGACATAACAACAAAAAACTTATTTTAATAATTTTTCGACATGTAATGAAGTCGATTTATTTATTCCCGAAACGAATTAAGATATACCAAGAGATTCCAAGAGACAAAAACTTTGTGTCATTAGCTGCTTAGCCCGGAAAATAAATATACATTTGAAAAAAACCGTGGCGTACATTCTTTTGAAAATATTATTCTTGACGGTGGCTCCCGAGACGAACTCATAATTATCAGTTAGTTAGTGCTTACTTAACGTCTTATTGCAATAAACAAAACTACCAAAATACAACATTATCAGGATCTCTGAGATATTAATAAACGTTGACACCTTGTAGCTATTATTAAGTAATACCCTGTATATCAAAATAAGTCCTCTTAGATCATAGGAATACTTTTCCAAAATATCTCGGAAGCTTATTGGCCCATTTTGATGAAACACTGGTAGGAGACAATTTGTTGGTTCTTCATGAACTTCATATAGTCATTCAGCCTAACGAACTATCACGTTTTCGAAAAGTGTCCATTTTTCCAACGGACCATCGATATTTTTCAATGGGACACAAAAAATGCAAGAACCCAAATCAGAAGTGTCTCGTGCATACATAGAAAGCATGTGTATAAGAAAAATTAATCTATCGTCAGTGGTTCCTACAATTGTAGGACGTCTTTATGGCCTCCATAGTATTCCCTATCGTAGCGCTCTATTTTGAGGTTATACTCTAAATTCAGGCTGAAGAAGCAGATGATAAAAATCAAGTTTTTATCAGCCTGAATTTTCTTAAGATTCAAAAAGAAGACATACCCTCACTTTAGGTAAGCGCTGACGCTGACACGGGACAGTGAGGGAGAAAAAATACTATGAAAATCAAGGAGGCCATAAATGCGTGCTACAATAATTGTGGGAACGACTGACGATACGGCCCTTAGATACAAAATCGTACGTGCGTTTGTGGCGTCTAGTTTTGCGGATAACGTCGGTGGCCGATACCCAGCGCACCGTGTAGAGTACCATAATAATAATGGCTGGTGGGGCGGCATCTGGGAATGGTGTCAATTCACCATGATGGTTGTTATGCAATGTTGTGCTGAATACATATGCTCTTCGGCAACTTGCTGCTCGCACACATACACGTTGCCATGTTTATTTTATTTATGCGTCTTTACGCTAAAGCGGGCGCTTTTTCTAAATAAACACTGTCTCTCGAATAAATTCAGTCGATTCATCGGTCGTTATTAAATACTTAGCTAGTTTGTCGGTTTGGAAACCCAGAAAGAAGTCAAAGAAAACAAAGTGGTGTCAAGCAGATTGATACCAATTATTTGTTACCGTATTATACCTAAAGATAGCCAATTCATCCATCTTCAAATATGTGTAACTTGTAAAGATATTAATAGTATTTTGAAATAATTGTCTTTTTTTTAACAGAAGTGTTATGTATACACAGATGAACTTTTTATATTTACTGTGAAGTAACGGGCGTATGTGTTGAAAATTGAATTGACTGAATTACTATACAAAGTACATAGAACAGAGGTTATGGCGCCAAATTAGCGGGCTATGTTACACCGAGTAATTTGATTTGATTTCGCAAAATATCAGATTGGTGATGTGCGCACTAGATTTACCCGTGAAACGGGGGTTTTGATAAAACTTATACCCTTTCTCAAGGCAAATTTTTTTACCCGTTGTCGCCAGCCGGCGGTAATTTGAAACGCTATACAAAAACATTTTGTAATTATTTAACAAGCCTCATTGCATCTACAATTTTAAGAACTGCTTACTGTGCCGCGTCAAAGGAAATTTCGAGATTTTACAACTACAGCGATTGGAAAATTTCAAAAATAAAATGGGCACTGTGTCGGTCTACTTGACACCAATAGTTATCCTCACAAGATTTCCGGGTTTACTGTTTCCAAAACACCCCAAACCGTCACATTACCACCACCATGGTACATGCTTCGGAAGACGTTTCTTCCTTTGAATGGCGGTCTATTGGATTCGAAAATCTGAAACTTTGATTCATCGCTCCCAAGAACATTTTCCCATTGACCTGTAGTCCAGTGTTTATTTGTCTTTACCCGTTCTAGTCTATTTTTCTTATGTCTAATTGTTGATTTTTGTTTTCTTTTGCAGAAACATCCTCTTAGAACCACAGACAGAAGTCGACGTTTAACAGTTGTTACTGTTACTCGTGTAATTTGTGGTGCTGTTAATCGTCGATTCCATTTAGACAGAACCCTGATGAAGTTATCATCTTGATTAGTTGTGGTCTTAGGCCTGCCTGATCTTTTCTGTCTGCGTTTGTTCCAGTTTCTTGTTTCCTTGCAAGAGTGTAGTGAACACCTTTACAAGAGATTCCAAGTCTGACGTTCACGAAGGATACAAATAGCACTCCGCTGTTCAAGCTTGCGTTTTGCCATTTTCTGAAGAAAAATTATAGGAAAAGCCGTAGTCGTATACTGCGAAACTTGCGCGTGCCAAAAAAAGCGACTAAACAGTTGGGATAGCAACACGTCAAGGTAGAAAGAAAGCTACGAAAGGATTAAGTCATAAAACACGTGTTTTGTCAACATCTAGGAATTTGTAAAAACATGTTTTAGGGGGGCAGACGACCTGTTGTTGTTGTGTAAACAACAGTAAAAAGTCATAATGTATTACAAATTTTTACCGCTAATAGTAAGTAATGTTTCTTTTTGGCCAGTACGAGTAATATCCAAACTATCGGCCTTGACCGAAGTTTTCAACGAAGAAATTTCAGAATATATGAACCTGGTGAAGTCGATTTATGAGAATACATAAAGCACATGATACGGTGCAAGGGCTTATTGGACAATGACAAGAATTGTAAGGAGAGGCAGATTAACAGCACAACTGCAAAGCTCGTTAAATACTCGATCGACAACGAAACGGAAGATATGGAGAGTAGATGTTCTAAGCAACGTGCAGCAAACACGATGAGAAAGTATATAGAGAGGATAATAGAAATACCAGACAGAGAGGACGGAAGAAGCACTCAACAAGACGCTGAAGATCCTATTAAGGGCGCATTACATAAAAACGATCGAAGGTGACGATGAAGGGTTGTTTGGATAAATTATGTTAGTTTTGTAAATAAGGGACATAAAGTAGTAAATTGTAAATATTATATTTGTAAAGATCATGTATAAGTATTTTAATATTTTACTATACCGTATTAAAAAAGTTTATCGTTTCAATTCCTTTCACCTTTTCAAGTGTGCCATTTACATGCGTCATATTTCATGTGGAAAAAGTAAAATAGTTATCATTTTACATTAGGTTGACGCAGTAACTGCCCCGCAATTAAACTTTTATAGACATGGAGTTTAAAAAAGTAGTGAAATATCTCGAGCAATGATCAGTAAGTAGTGCCACTACTCGGGAAATACAGAGTCATCCTACTTGATGACAAAAATGATGGTGATATTTGACCGCTTTTGCTACCCGTTATATCTAAAATATTACAAATCTCTCAAAAAATCATCAACTGGTGCATTCTGAGCTACGAAGTGATCTGATATCACCTGTAAATGGGAAAAAGTTAGAAGTGATTATTTGAAAAAACAAGCACCAACTTAATCTACCTATTTTGGATCATGATAGTTTTGGTATTTGATATAATAGCTTTGAGCTTTCAACTATACGTTTTGTGATCTTTAGATCACGAGCACCTATAGATTTTTTGTCGATGCGTAATTTCAGCAAACGAGTATCGGTTCTGATGAAATTGGGGAGGCGATATGCCGTGAGGCCACGTTTATTATACCGGTGTTTTCAAAGTTGAGTCATTTATTGCTTGTAGAACTGGTCAAAAGGAGTTGATATACCAAAAATCACCTATATCAAGGTTGCATAATAGAAGAAATACTTACTAAAAGATTAAAAATTTTAGAAAATAAAAATGTCGTTTGTGATATTCTCGACCACCGCCGTATAAAATCATAGCATTTTTTGTTTTCTACTATTGTCGTTTATCTAAATTTTTGTGTGTGTGTGTTTTCAGTACGTATACTTTCATTTGTCCGATTGTTTTGTCCAAAAAAATGACCCATGTTTACGTAAACAATGAACTAGTGGGCATAATACTAACATACGGAGAGTGCCAACAAAATGCAGCCACAGCATGCGGAAAGGTTTCCTTTAAGAAATCATTCGGTCTCAAATTTCAACTTTTTGTCTGTATCCTGAATGGCAATTGATTATTGCTGTTGTTTAGCTCCTATGTACTCCTAAAATGGCCAATAAAATGTTTTGTTGGCTCGAGAAAATAAAACAACAGTCACAGCGCGTCTAATACACTTTATTTAATAATAACATATTAAAAAACTACCTAAAGGAGGAAAATATTTACTACAGTAATATGGGTCAAAAAATTGTAAAACATAGGATTTAGATTTCAAAAATATAAAATGAAAAGATAAAATTCACAACTATAAACTAATTTTAAGTCTTTTAGATGTTTAACGCGCTAGTTAATTCCAGAATGTTACTACATACCACCATATTGAAAAAAGGTGTCAAATTTTCCTGCCGACCGCAATAAACTGGCACCTTCGCACCTGGTTGCAATAAATTCCATTTTTGTAAGCGAGAGGCTAGTGTTTCTACCTTTGCCTTCGATAGATCCGAATCCCTTATGAGATCACTTAATTCACGCTGGTTAATTAAATGTGGTGCTCCACTGCTCATGTGGTGGATCAGGAACAGGTAACTCGCTATGAAGAATTGTACGAATCGCCGATTCCAAATTGGGATACTGTACCAACGCCTCCTTCTTTTGTTTGGTGATACCTTGCTTAATCGGAGGTATTTGGCAGAAATAACAATGGCGTCCCATCCTAACCGTGTCGAACTTCGTACATCCAGAACCGGCCGATACGACCGCTCCTTTGTCCCGAGGGTGTCGAGATTGTGGAACAGTCTACGGGGAGAAGCTTTTCCCAGTTCTATTAACCTTAGGCAGTTCAAAAATCGTATTAATAAAATTTCTTTGGGATCATCATAGCAGCCGCGGTGTTCCGGCATTTAGGCTTGCGCCTACGCGGCTGCTTCGATATAAAAAAAAAATCCGCGACATGGTCTTTGGGTTTACGCCAAACCATAGGTAGGTACAGCGAAGGGCATCGCTCGTTTTCTACCATTAATCCAATTACGAAGATTGTTGGCATAATTAGTACAACATATATATGGAGAGCCCAACTCTTATCTTGGTCTCCGATTTTGCAAACCAAAATATAAATGGTATGCCTTTTTAATTAACGGAGTCATTTTGCGTTTTTGGGCCTGCAGGATCACTTCACCACAAATGTAACAAAAGTTGTACGGTTTATTTACACAAGTGCGCGGTATATTCACTTTTCGAGAAAATACAGAAAATACAGCTTGTCATTAAGGCCATGGGTCCCTTTTATTCAACAACCTGTTTGAAGGAGTATTTTCAATTATTTTCGTCTGATATCTTCATGCTGTATAAAGAGATGATTAATAAGCAATATTAGCAATTTTTTCATCAAAAAATGCATTTTTTTGTCCATTTTTTATGCAATTGTAGTTTGTGGACGAATAACAGTGTAGCTCTAAAATTGTTTGACAATATTCCACATTTATAGTAGATTACCTTAGATATTACTATTTCTATTGACATTTTTTTTTACAAAAAAACTTTTTTCCGAAAAAGCAAGCTGAGTTTTTAAAAAGAAACTTACTGAAAACCTAGAAAAAAAGCTGTACAAACCATTGCTGGAAAAAACAACTTTTTCGCTCACACTGTTTTCGAGCTATCATTGCTATTTGGTGTAAATTTTGAAAGAAACCTGTCTTCCGCTGGCCACGCTCAGCGCGGCGGATGATTGGTCGTAATACGAGGTGACTATTCGTATCTCTTCGCCGTGATGCCACGTTTCAGCATATTCGTTCTGTTCGCTACTGTTTTGCGTGTATCGGTCGTGTACGATTTGTTGTTGTTAAGACGTTTGTTATACCTTTGTTGTTGTTAAAAAATGCCTAAAAGTCAAAACGGCGTACGCATAAGCAAACAAATATACGTATAAGGCTTTGCTAGCAAGGTAACTGTTTCTTTGAGATCTGTTGTATCTAATTCCACAAATTCGAGTACTGACTGTAATAGTTGGTAGTATAGTTTAGATGAAATGGTTAGTTTTTTCCATAGAAGTTCCCATTTTCTCCAGATTGATTCAATTTATGTTTTAGCTCGTCTCCAGTATTGCCTTCAGACTTTGATTTCTACATCTTGCTTTTTTATCCAGGTTATTGTCAAGAAATGAAGTTGATGAACTATGTGCATAGACCTTTTGTTGACAACAGCAATGAGTTATCCGAGGTTTGTCCAGCTGGTATCAAAAGTTGTGTTGGCAAATACTCGTTCAATACAGTGTCTTACGATAAGGACTATGCTTTTGAATCAAAATTTCCTAAGCATTGCTGACAGAATTGATAGCAGGAGGATTGTTAATTTGGACCATATTTTGACGTAGTAGCGTAAAGTGCAATTATTGGAGGAAATGTACAATGGGTAGGATGGACTTCGTGAAAGAAACATGTCATAAAGTTACATTGTCTTTTTGTGAAAATTGTAGAAAGCTATGGTTATCTAATCAGAACCAAACTCGATCGAAGGCTCGTTCCACGTCCAGCAGGACGAGGCCGGTTGCCTCCTGGAGATTGAAGCCGGTGGTGATGTTTTCTGTCAGTCGTAGCGCTTGGAGTTCCGTGTTGTGGGAGGATCTGAAGCCGAATTGCTCTGGGGGGAGAAGTTGCAGTTCTTCTGCCTGCTTCTCTACTCGAACGGCGATAGCCTTTTCGACTACTTTGCCCATCGATTAAACCAGGCTGATGGGCCGGTAGTTCTGGTGCAACTTCCGGCCCTTGCCTGGCTTGGTGAGCATTATAACCTGGGCTTCCCGCCACCGCCGCGGGAACTGGTTAAGTCTCAGAGTGGCATTGGCGATGTTGGTGAGCGCAGCAATGCCTTTGGAGGGAAGGTTCTTCAACATCCTGTTGTTGATGCCGTCCCTTCCCGGCGCCTTTCTGACCTTCAACCTGCGGATGATCAGACGGATTTCCTCTGGACTGGAGGGGTGATCCGTCTCCTGGCCAGGTGGTCGACTCCTTATGATTTCGGCTGCGACTTCCACGGCCTCCTCGTGGTTGTCGTCCTCGTCTTCATGGTAATTGAGTCTGCATTCGGATTCTAGCGAATCGGCGAATGCTTCGGCTTTTTCTTCACTGGAGTAGGCCAAGCCGCGTTGGCCGTGAAGAGTGGGGCTCGTGGTGCGCTGACGACGAAATTTTCGCTGCATAGTCCAGGCCGTACAATCCTGGGTCTCTAGTTCTGCACAGGCTGCATTCCATCTGCTGTTTTTTAGTTCCGCGAGTGCGTTCTTCAGAGCTAGCGATGCTCTGTTTCGCGCAACTCTCGATTCCTCTGTCAACAGCTGGAGATGTTCTCGCTTGAGTCTTGAGTTCTCCCTGATCAGGTGCCTAATATGGTGCGGTGCTGGACCATTTAGGTGTCTAGGAACTGCCGTAGTCTCGGAGCGGGTGATGTCCTCGTGCGCTCGCAGGACAGAATTCTCCAGCTCCTCTACTGCATTGTCCAGTTCCTCCGCTGATCGGATTGTTTAAGGTAAATGATATTATACATATATAAATAAACATATCTAAAAAGCAATTAGAGGCTAATATTATTCTTAGAGAAGGGTGTATCCCGCCTTCAGTACGGCTATTCAGGTATTTCCCATAAATTACAGGTACCGGAAAAACCAGAGCCAAAAGGGCTTTTTACCTGGGATATTCCTGTTTAACACAACAAGATTAACTAAAATTGGCTAACTTTATTCCGTATACATTTTGGCGGGTTGACATTTATAAAAAATCAACGAGGAGGTCGGCCTGGAAAACCTGCTCAACCTGAAATGTTACAAATTGAGGAAGACATTTTAGAAATGGTCGAAGACGACCCAACTATGAGTATCTACTAGAGCCATAGCAGCTCAAGTTGAAGTTTCTCTTAGTAAAGTGTGGAAGAACAGTA